TAAAGTTGCCTATCGCGTTTGCTGGCTTATCGCGTTTGCCGACTGGAGACGACTTTGAAGCTGTTATATTAAGGTACAAATCTTGCATAGTGTGCCAAGAACAGTGATTTTACTGATGTGATTTTACTGATAATAAGCCTATACATGAAAGACATTCACAACGCTGTAAAATAATTGATTTATTTTATAATTGATTTATTTTATAATAAAAGTTTTAATATGAGCTAAATTTAGCAAATAGACAAAATCCACATGCTTAGATTTAGTTCTTGTACAGTATAGGCTATTGTGTTTTTAAAGCACATGCAGTGAACAAACAAAGGTTCACAACACAAAGGAAATGCAACTTGGTTTGATTTTGTACATTTATAACCAATGTAGTCAGTATAGTCTGTTTTTGATTTATTGTCAGTAAAAGTTCTTGCTCAACACTGCCCTCTTGTGGCCAGGAGGCGTTTCCTTTGTGTCGTGGATTCACTCTTTTCTTTCAACAGAAATAAAACTAATTCCAAAAGCATAAACAAAGCCAGCAGGAAACATGAAAACATTATTTCCATCCATTTCCATTATTTTCTTGTCACATATTTCTGATTCTAGGACAAATTATGAAAATGAAAATCTCACATGTATAATTATTATGTTTTTTTTTTTAATTACGTGGCCCTAAACAGCACATACATTTATGTATAAATCAATATCAAGCTCTCAGTTACACTGTTGGCCTGAATATTAGCACATATGTATAATTATAACCATATTTATAAGCTTTATACTTTAACACAGAGTAAGACATATTGTGTTACTTTATATTTTCATGTAACATATCAGTGTTTGTGTTGAGTCTTGAGGTTGTTCGAAATCCATATCTTGAAGATTTCGTCGGTCTGTACTTTGAAATTGTTTCAAGTCGTCTCCGTTTCTTGCATGAACAAACATCTTTAAGAATCCTTAAAAAGTGACAAAGTGAAATCAGATTTAAACGAGTAGTTCTGACAAAAACATTATTTATTCACCCACTTTTCATGGTTTTGTTCTTTCTGTAATATAACAACTCTAGTCACCAAAGAGCTGTAACTGCAAGAGCTGTTAAAATATCCTTTATAAAATGTAAAATAGCATACTCTAAAAAATGCTGGGTTGTTTTAACCCAACTTTGGGTCAAATATGGACTAACCCAGCCGTTGGATTAAATTTTTACATTACATTTTTAACCCAACATTTCGGGTTTGTCCATATTTGACCCAAAATTGGGTTAAAACAACCCAGCATTTTTTAGAGTGCATACTGATATTATATAGTGAGAATTCAAGAGTCCACGTTTGGAGACATACATGTATAATTTCACTAAAGATCTCACCTATGATCACAATGATCAGAACAGCGTTCAACAGAGCAGATATGAGGATAATAATCTGCCAATGTGTCTGATTCCTCTCAATGATCTTCACCGCTGTCTGATTCTGGATCTCTGCAGTCGGAGTTGGTTCTGTGTATTCATTGAAGGGGTTTAATATTAATATTTCACATGTATTTGTGTAACAGTGATTAAGTGTTTAGCTTGATGATCACTGAATGTTCACTCACCGCTGATGTGTATTCTGGTGCCGGCGCTGTATTTTGGAGGAACGTCTTTGGTCAGACAGTAATAAAGTCCTAAATCATCAATAGTGACATTATTTATGAATAGATGAGGGTTTCTTTGCACTGAATATTTGTGTCTAAATCTATTATTGTAGTAATGAGGAGTTGAGAAAGTGCGTAATATCAGAACTGGAGAATCTGGGAGTTTCAGAAATAACCAGTTAACCTCCTTTCCATCAAATTCACAGTTTATAGACACATTTAGACCCAAATCTGTAAGTTGATCAGTTAAAGTCTCCGCAGCTTCACACCATATGAGCAGATCTGCGAAATAAACGCCACACACACATAATTTGGATTATTATCATGTCATTAAACATTATAAATTATCTTATAAAGAACATTCAGATATTGATAAAGTACATTAACTCACAGAGTTGAAGCTGCACAATCTTCATGATGTTAACACACTTGAGTGTGACGCGTCTTGTTTCTTTCACACGACTGTAGAGATGTACCGTTACCTCTGAGCTTTCAGACGGATAGTGTGATCTAACCGCAGTCAAGAGGAAGTCAAAGGCAGGTTTGCTTTGGCCACACGTTTCGTTCTTTTGTCTATTTGTGCAAAACTCAAACCATTGACCTATGCATTATTTTTTTGTCTTTAAAAAACTAAATATTTATCTTTAATTCACTGGCAGGAAAAGGACTCAAGACACTGAGAACAGACTGTTTTCTTTTTTTCAGAGTCATTCAAACACAAAAATGATGTTTTCTTCAACTATTCTCGTTCTAACTCATGATTATTAACTCACAAGTTTCTGTCTCTTAATATTACAACCCTAAACATTATTTATCCTCAATACAAGTGAGTTCTCTATGTATTTTAATTAATCTGGATCGAATCTTTTGTCTAGTGCTTTTCTTTTTAAAATTAGTAAGAAGTGTGAGACTTATTTCTAATATTTGTTATACAAATTATTAATCATTGTTAATGTTAGTTAATACAACTAACTTGATGCCTGCAAGTGTGTGTGATCGTGTTGTTCATCAAGTGACCAAACCAGTGGAACATTTCATTTGCACGAAACCATGCTTGTGTTCACCACGAAAAAAGAAAACCACAAAAGTCAAAGATATCTTTAGATTTATTTACATTTGTTTTCTTGACTTCAAGCGTTGTCAAATTGCTGTAAAAAAAAAAAAATAAACTAGCAGAAAATGTCATGATTTAAAAAAAAAATGTTTTATGTGTGTGAGATCTGAGCATTTCAGCGCACTTATAATAGAGAAAGAAAAAATATTATACATAACCAGGATCTCCACTTAAAACAGCACCAGAATAAAGTGTTACTATAATACACACTGCATGTTTAGGTAACACTTTACAATAAGGTTCATTAGTTAACATTAGTTAATGTATTTACTAACATGCACTAACCATGAGCAATACATTTGTTACTGCATTTGTTAATCTTTGTTAATGTTAGTTCATGAAAATACAGCTGTTCATTGTTTGTTCATGTTAGTTCACGGTGCATTAACTAATGTTAACAAGATTTTAATCAAGTATTAGTAAATGTTGAAAATAACATTAACAAAGATTAACAAATGCTGTATATGTGCTATTCATTATTAGTTCATATTAACTAATGTAGTTAACTAACGAACCTTATTGTAAAGTGTTACCCATATTTAGATACAAAGCAGAAAACTCATGAATGGAAATGGAAATTAAAATCCACATATTTAAAATATAATAACAGCAAATTTTATTTTTTAGTTTGTAAAAAAAAAAAAGTATATGTAGGTACACCTAACACGTATCACATGGTACATTGTCTGTAGACAGTAGTGGTCTGCTCCTGACTAGGTCTGGTGTTTCTGGAGCACATGAAGAAATCATCTTCAGCACACTGAAAGAGGACCATATTATATATGAACGACCATATACAGTATATTAGACATAATGAACAGTCAGCTGGTCATAAACATTTCAGATCATTTAATGAATCTTGTGTTTGAAGTTTCACTGTAAGAATCAGGATAATAGAGGAAATAATAAGATAACATATATTAATATTGAAGATGCATCTCACCTGTGGATTATTTGAGTTTTGAGCAGCAGATTTTCCAGTTGCATCAATTAAGATCTTCAGCAAACCTGAAACACACTGAATATGAAACATCACTGAATTCACACATTACAGTCCAAGAGCCGATTCACAGAGAACGTGTTTTACTGTGAAAAATGTGAGATTCAGGCCTGGGGGACGAAAAAAGTTTCTACAGAAATGTGTTTTTTTTTTAAAGTTGAACTCTTTTTGAGGAACTTTAAGAACGACATGTCTCGCACGAGAGCTGCAAAAGAAGAATTTAGTGTTTAGTGCGTGTTTACATAAAAAAAGCAACAAAAACAAAGTATTGCAGCGGAATAGAAAAACACGTTCTGTGTGAACCGGCTACATTTGTGTAGATCTAGAGTTCGTCTCCTTGTAGTTCACTGACACTTTTACTGTAAAACAAGAACAAACCTATTAATGCAATGATCAGAAGCACATTCAGCAGGACAGATATGATGATGGTCATATTTCTCCATGGTATCTGCTGTTGTGGAGTGTCTGTAATATTATTTTGGACAAAGTCTGTAAAAGGTTTATAGTTCAATCTTTCAATTTCAGTCTTTAACAGAATAATAAACAATTATTAGATCTTTACTCAGTATATTCAATATGGACTCCATCAAGTGGTTTATAAAAACATGAAATGATAAAATAACTCACCGCTGATGTAGATTTTGGTGCCGTTGTTGAATTTTAGTGGTTCACTAGTTTTCACACAGTAATAAACTCCTAATTCATCAATGGTGATATTCTTGATGAACAGACGACTGTTAGTTTTCACTGAGTATTTGTGTTTATAGATGATGTTTTCATTTTTAGGTCCTTCATATGTGCTGCTGTAAGAGCGTACAATCAACTCTGGAGGATCCGGTAATTTCAGTTTGTACCAGTACACTGTAAAAAGTAATTGCTGATTCTACTTAAGAAAAACTAGTGAATTTAACTTACTTTAGAAACTTAGTTGATTTAACTTGATTACACTGTGTACTGTGAACTTTTAGGTGGATGCAATAGTCAAACTAAACAAATCTAGTACATTGTACTTAAGATTGGTAAGTGTATTGTACTAAAGGCATTTTCACACTGTTGCAAATTTCTGGAGCACAGAATTTGGATAGTAATAATAATAATAATAGTGAAATTAACAACATTAAGTAAATACCAATTAGTTTAAAAAAAATAGCTAAATATAGTTAATAGGTTAATATATAGTTAATAGGTTCTGAATCTTTTTTTCCTGCACGCTTAAAAATAACTGGGAAGATAAAAAGCAAGCCCATCGGCTGCTACTTCACAGTCCTTTATATTTTTAGTAACAAAGCTTTATATATTTACTTTGGTTATTAAGTTATTAAGTTTCAGCATGAGACGAAACAACTCGGGTTTTTTTTTCATCTCGCGCATGCGCATTTGCGCAATTGGACGGTTGAACTTGAGGAACACGAGACGAAATCGACGAGGGACTTCAGCTCGGCTCGTGTTCGGGAATGGATTCGGCAGCAAAACTAGGTATGCTAGCCTCTTGAACAACTATTTATCAACTTTAATGTCATTGTATAGCTTGAAAACAGAATTTATTTTGCTCATTGTGCAGTAAGAGGAAAAGACACACTGAAGTAACGTTAGTTTGATGTCGAATGAGACCAGTTGAGACAAGCGGCATAAGTTACTAGATTAAAAAAACGATTTTTACTGAACACGTGTTTTATATTAGTTATAGTTTGTATGCTGTGTTTATCGTTTATAAGTTTGGGGTTTATCTAATAATATGTAAAAACCCTGGCTGTGCGGCCTAAATAGCAGCTAACGTAACTTTTCTTCTTTCTAGGAAGTTCAATGCTCACGTGTCGTTCACATGAAAATTAATAACACGATGCATTAATTAAGAAGTGTAACGAACAAGCTGTTATTACCTTATTTTGTCTTTATTTTGTGACAGATTCACTCAACGTTTCATCAATAAATTCAAGGCTAAATCTGGAGACATTGGCTACAAACTTAAGATTCTGCATAAGGTTCAAAATGACGTAAGCTCATCGACATATCACAATTATGTCTCGATTGCAAAACATATGTTGCTTTTGCCGGTTTTTTTTTTTTTGCTCTGACGTTTTGCTAGTATCGAGTGCTAATTCAATATACATTTTTATAACTTTGCAGAAATCCAATATCAATGCGGAACGAACAGCGTTCTTCATCATGGCCTACCACTAGTTCTCGGAGAGGACCACAATGATTTTTACAAGACATCTTTTGTAAGTATTTTCATCTCTGATGTGATTCTTGTTTAACAGAACTGTTCTTCAAACAGTTGATATCTGGCAAGAAGAGTTATAAAGGCATGAAAAACAGTCAGGACAGTGAAACAAAGTAAGGGTTGGAGAAAAGAAAGTGAAAGATAAATTAAGAGTTTAGAAGAAAAAAGACAGTTAGAAGATACATTTTATAATAGTTTTAATTTATATAACCGGCCATCAGTTTTATTTGTCTTTTCATGCAGTGGTTTGATGAATGTTTTTCCCCCTGGATTCACTGCTGTGCCCTCTTTGAAAAGGCCTTTACATTTAGACACAAAGGGTTATTAATTTAGTTTCATATTTTATTGACTATGTGCTCTTAAAGGGATAGATCACCCCAAATGAAATGATGTTGTTATTTACTCACCCTTATGTTATTCCAAACCTGTTTGAGTTTCTTTCTTATATTGAACACAAAATAATATATTTTGAAGAAGTTCGGTAATCAAACAGTTGAGATTAGCCATTGACTTCCATAGTTTTTTTCCCCACTATGGAAGTCAATGGCTACTCTCAACAGTCTGGTTACCAACATTCATCAAAATATCTTCTTTTCAGTTCAGCAGATGAAAAAAAACTCATACAGGTTTATAACAACTTGAGGGTGAGTAAATTATGACAAGATTTTAATTTTTGAGTGGACTATCCCTTTAATGTAACACTCCACCATTTTGTTCCATATTAAACTATGTTATTCCCTTAACAAAGACGAGTTGATGAATACCTCTCTCGTCTCAGCCTGCACTCAATCGCTCTGGTGCATGGAGACGCATTGTTAGCACTTAGCTTAGCCCAGTTCATTCATTAGGATGAAAATTGACATGAAGTTAGAAGTGACCAAACACCGCCATATTTTATTTTGTGTCAGCATACTTGGCTGTGTAACCGCATTTGAATAGAGAAAATGTGAAGATATTTGGTCGCTTTTCTGTTTGGATCCTAATGAATAAACTGGGCTAAGCTAAGTGTTAAAGTGTCTCCGCATGCCAGAGCCATTGAGTGCACGCACTGAGACGACAGAGGTATGTATCAACTCGTCTTAGTAAAGAGAGTAACATAGTTTAATATGAAAAAATAGTGGAGTGTTCCGTTAAAATATGTCTTGTTCTATTACCTAATTTTTGTTGTATGTTATTCCCATTTTTAGGACTGTGATGACAATGAAGATGTGTCCAACATTGAAATGTATTCTGAAATTGATTCCCGAGTCGTCTGCAACCGCTGCCATACCCTACTCCCTGCATCTTGATGCCACAACAACGGCAATCATTCTGGAAGGTACAGTGGTTGTGGATGATCTTGAAAATCTTCCACAAGCAATGAGCTGTCTTTAAAGGAACACTCCACCATTTTTTTTTAATATTAAACTATGTTATTCCCTTAACTAAGACAAGTTGATGCATACCTCTCTCGTTTCAGTGCGCCGTACACTTATGGCGCTTTTCCACTGCATAGTACGGTACGGTTCGGCTCAGTACGCTTCGACTCGGCGCGGAACAGTTCGGCTCGCTTTGCGTTTCCACTGCAGTAGTACCCCTTCAAAGTGTGTGGGACTGATCGTTATTTGCGCGCGCCTCTACTGCCATGACATCATCTTAAAAGCGCCACATTTTCAAACCCACAACACAGGAACAATGGAGACTATCGAGGGGATGGTGTTCCTGATTCTCGGTATGTGGTTGTTTTTAACTGCTAGACAGGAAAATGTGTTTAAAATGAGGCTGATGGCAGCAAAACAAAAATACTGCTAAAAAAGTGTCTCGTGTCACAAATCCAATGACGCTAGTAGTGACGCTGGTAGTGACGATTCTGTCTGACCAATCAGTGATCTGCAGTGTTTCACGTCACATTTTAGTACCGGTACGGTACGCTTGGAACCTCAACAGACCAGGTACCATTTAAAGCGACCTGAAGCGAACCGTACTGTACCGTACTATGCAGTGGAAAAGCGCCATACATTTCTCTGATGTGCAGTGACACTTTGATAGCCCTTAACTAGCCCAGTTCATTCATTAGGATCCAAGCAGAGAAGCAACCAACCACCTCCACATTTTCCCTATTTAAATACAGCTACACAAGTAGTTACACGACCAAGTATGGTGACAAAATAAAACATGCCGCTTTTCTAAGCGTGTAAAGTGGAGAACTACAATGTATGGCGGAATAGCACTTGAGAGCGCTTCGACTTGGTACAGTAATATCATCACTACTGATGATGAGAGGATTTTTTAGGAGTGATGATATTACTGCGCCAAGTCAAAGTGCTCTCAAGTGCTTTTCCGCCATACATTATAGTTATCCATTTTACACTGGTGTAATCATACACCATTCTCGGTCATGTAACTACTTACCAACGTGTAACTGTATTTAAATAGGGAAAACGTGGAGGTGTTTGGTCGCTTCTAACTTCATCTCTTTTTGGATCCTAATGAATAAACTGTGCTAAGCTAAGTGCTATCAATGTGTCGCGTCGCGCCAGAGCGATTGAGAGGTATCTATCAACTCGTCTTTGTTAAGGAAATAACATAGTTTAAAGGGATAGTTCACTTTGAAATTAATTTTTGATATGTTTTAGCTTACCTCAAGGGCATCCAAGATGTAGGTGTCTTTGTTTCCACAGTATTTAAATGTTTTACATTTTTCGGTCAAACCCTTCTTGTCTGTCAGTCATACAATGGATGTTTAGGGGGTCCACAACAAAAAGCATGCACAGAGAAGTCAAAATTAAACATGATTTAATGACTTGTAAATGTAAGTACACATTGATGGCCTAAGTCACGAAACGAGCGGTTTTTGTGCGAAAACGAACAGTATTTATATCGTTTTACCTCTTGTTAACAGCCATGTTCAATTGATCTGGATCAGATGTCCAACTGAACTGAACTGAACCATGTCCAACGTTCCGCTGGAACTGATCTCGCGCGCATCTACGTCACTCATTGTTTACACAGAGATTTGGGAAGTTTTACCTTTCACTGTGAAGATCTAAACATATTTAGATATATGGGAAATCGCAGTAGAAAATGATTTCGATATATCTAAATATGTTTAGTGAAAAGTAAAACTTCCGAAATCTCTGTGTAAACAATGAGTGACATAGACGCGCGCGAGATCACTTCTTGCAGAACGTTGGACATGGTTCACTACGGTTCAGTTGGACATCTGATCCAGATCAGCTGGACATGGCTGTTAACAAGAGGTAAAAACGATATAAATACTGTTCGTTTTTTCACACAAACTGCTTGTTTCGTGTCTTAGGCCATCAATGTGTACTTACATTAACGAGTCAATAAATCATGTTTAATTTGGACTTCTCTCTGCTGCTCTTTGAGGTGGTGACCATAGACCTCCATTATGTGACTGACAGACAAGAACGGTTTGACCTAAAAATATCAAAATTGAAAATACTGCGGAAACAAAGACACCTACATCTTGGAGGCCCTTGAGGTAAGCTAAAACATATCAAAAATTATTTCAAAGTGAACTATCCCTTTAATATGAAATACAATGGTGGAGTGTTCATTTAAGAGAACTCTAAAGAAAATTGTTCAGTACTGTTTTTTAGGTACTTCACTGTTATCCAATTGTTGAAAAGAAAAATGTAAAAAATATCCTTATTTAACAGGATGTTACTTGTTTGGTTTTGGAATAGTTTTATAAGAAGAGAATTTTAAAGAGAACTGTAGTAGGAAAGGAATTTTGTACCAAACTGTGTGACTTGCATGCTCTGCTTTCAACCACTTTGTAAAGATGTTAAAAACAAAGAAACATTGTTTTTATTGTCTTTATGACTTTGTTTTTTTTCTTGAGTGCATTATGTGCTTCTAAAATGTTGTTGGTGGGCCAGTAATGTTTTAACATTATTGTTATTGAAAAAATAAACATTCTAGTGGTTTGCCAAATGTGTTGTCTTTCTTTGTATTCTCAACTCAGAATTTTGAGTACAATTTGCTTGAGAAATTTAAGGCAATCAGTTTCCACACATTCCTCTAGTAAATAGAACAAGCAGACATGTTAAATTAACTGTTTTGTGTAAGTTCTGTTTACAAATCTCTGTAAGTTGCCTTAACTTGAGATTATTAAGTTACCTGTACTCAAGTTTTATGGTAACCTCTACAAATACACAAGTTAACTCTACAAAGAAGTAGAGAGTAGTATCAAGTCAAAAATGATGACCTAATTTGCTTGAAAATTTTGAGGCAATCAGTTTCCACAGCTTTTCCTAGTAAAGTCAACTTATTACTTTTTACTAACCCTAGCGTACAATCAACTCTGGAGGATCCGGTAATTTCAGTTTGTACCAGTAAATCTCCTCTATATCAAGATCACAGGTTATAATCACATCAGATCCTAAAGTTACTGGTGTGTTTGTTAGACTCTCTGAGGCTTGATACAACATGAACAGATCTATGACAGAAAGAAATACACATTTATTAAGATATAAAATGAAAAGAAAACTGATTTAATCAAATGTGTCATGAGAAACTCACAGATCTGCAGCTGTATGATCTTCATGATCTGATCCAGATGAATAATATCTGCTATAGTGATCATTCACACATCTCGTACTGTGAGAGGAAACACAAACCTCGACCACACAGACGAGAGGGGAAGTCAGAGCTGGGCTTCTCTGAGAACATCATCATTCTTATGTTTAAATCAACAAGTAATTAAAAGATATAGTTTGTGTTAATATTCCAGTGTGTTTTATTTGAATGCACAAATGTGTGAATTTTGATTTGCTCCTCAAAAAAACATATACTTTATATAACCATCGTAATATAATATCATCTAATGTCAACAAGTCATCGGCGGACATGAGAGGACGCTGGAGCTGTTTGTTCGCCGCTTCTTTGTTTTGTTTTGTTTTGTTTGTGTTCACTGTACTCCTACCTCTGGACAGCCTCTCAGCTGGTTCCCAAAGCCACTTGGGGACCTCGTCGGTTAGTCGCTTGTTGGCCCGCGTTCGTCAACGTGTGCCGGCTAATTCTAATTCTAGCTGCAATAGCGGCTAACCTGACTGCCTATCTCTTTCTCCTTTAACACTCTGGCCCGCCTCAGTCACTTTTAACAACTCGTCACCCTGGTACACCCCTGAAACAAACTGGCCGCCAACTTGAACGCCTGACAAAAAAAATCATCTCTCATAGTCCACATGAAGCCTATAAACACCACCTCATTGCCTGCAAAGATGCCCTCATTGCCGCCAATTCTGCCTTCCTCTCTGATCTGATTGTGTTAATTGTGTTTGAACATTATGTGTAGCTCCGTAACACCACAGGAGGAGGGAACAAAATGATTCAATGTGTGATAGTAAAGCAAACAAGGTTCAGGGACGAGACACAGATGTCACTTTCAGGAGACATGGCGACCAGGTGAGATCTCGGGTTGTAGAGGATGAGCTTGTTAAAGAAACTGACTGTTCAGGGACTGACACGTCGATTCAACCCTGTACACCAGAGGAGGAAAAACAAGCCGTTCCTGATCCTTCTCAAGAGGGCTGTGGAGGGGTTACAGGGGAAGTGCAGAGTCCACGCCACTCATCCAGAAGTACAAAACCACCAAAACGTTTTGACCTGTAATACATGAAACATACACCCATTGCAAGAGCACTACGGTATAGGACTGTTATGGTCTTATATATAAATACAATGCTTATTTTGTTCTTTTAAGTTGTTGGTAAAGCCAATAATGTTTCGTGCCATGTGCGGGTTTCAGGTTGAATCTCAACGTACCTTTGTTTAAAGGTGCTATATGTAATATTTGAGGTAAAAATATCCACAAAAAAATTAGCTACACGCATCAAAATAATGAGAAGAAATAAGTGCAATGATGTCATTAAAAAAATGACAAGTTATAGTGCTGCCGAGATATTAACCTGAATTAGCATGCTAAATTACTAGCCCCGGCCCGGCAGGTGTCGTAATACCAGTTTCGGCCATGGGAGGCGGTATGCGGCCGGGCAACATTACCACCAGCAAAACTGCAATACACGAGTGAGTCGCGCCGGCTTGTGTGTACTTGAACCTGATGTCAGTCGTGTGGAAATACAGCCAATTACTACATTTCAGTTCAGGGAAGAGTTCAAAAAATAATTGGTCGACATTATGCGTGAGGAATACATTTTGGTAAGTTGTAGCATACCGTATCTTTCAACAGTGTTCGTGTTCTTTTTCCAGCTAGTAGAGACGATCGGTTCACGTGCGCTCGGGATCTGTGGTGTAACATTTACAAGCGCCAAAACGGTATTTATTCTTTGAATTGCGTAATAAAATTGACAGAATCTGAGAGCTTAACTAACCTGCTTGCTAAGTGTCAATTGCGTGTGTCTCACGGTGAATTCGTGAGAGTTTGCAGCTCTGAATGGCGCTAGCTTGATCAACATCAGCGAATGCTGTCTGTCAAATTAATTCAAACTAACAATAAAAGT